CCATCCCAGTATTTTTTAATGCCAGCAGGCCTCTAAGATCAAGGACAAATCCCTTTGGGAAAAATTGGCTGGGGAAAGGTGGCTTTCAGGGAACAAAAGGGCAGGAGAAAGATTGAAAACTGTTCTCGTTCCCTTCACTCCTGTTTTACAGGGAGTTACCAATAACCTGTGAATCTGACATACGGGTTTTGTAGAAACATGAGGCATGTCATGCCAACACACCCTAGTAATAAGCTATGGTGGGTTGGTCTTTCCTTTGCTCTCCCCTTGGGCTGTCTGTGTTTGCAGTCACTGGCAAGACTGGTGTGTGTTCCCTTGCCTGCCATGATGATCAGCATGTTTCCCCTGCTTTGTATCCCAGAGATCACAATTTCTGTGTTCGTAGAGGGCTTTTGCAATCCCTCTTTTGACAGCCACAAACAGCTCCTTTAAAATGCTTCACTGGCACCTGGGGTGGGGGGAGCTGTTCCTACTCACAAACCTTAGTTTTAATTGGCCTTTTTGACCCCTCAGTATGCACAAATATTTGCACACAAACATACTTTCTCATTCTTTCCATGTGTGCACCTGCACACCTATGGAGGTCTGAAAAGGTGCAGCCTTGCCTGGGCAGAGTAGGAGGGACCAGCTAGCTAAGTGCAGCAGGAGCCAAACCTGGATGTTGATCCAGGGAGGGTGAAACAAAATTAGAAGAGACCCTGGTTGTCCTCCGGTCCCACCTCCAAATTCCTTAATCAGTGCAGGTTTTACAAAGCCGAATTCAACTGTAGCATCCCTGACACCCTCCATTCCATCACCTGTGTACATGTATGTAAATGGTATTTCAGAACCTGAATGGGGCATCGGAAGTCCTCTGTTTAAATCAGGCACAAACTCATTTCAGCGGCCTTAATGACACTTGGCCTTTTGTCTGATTCTTACCTGGAACTGTGCCTGCAAACACAGCGACAGGCAGCCGATCTGGTCTTGAGTTCAGAAGCATCTGGTGAATTGCAGCGTTCATTTAAGCCAGATTTCTAGAACTTAGGATGATCAAGACAGGCTTGGAAGTGCATGGACAACAGTGATGAGATGTTAGAAATGGGCTGGGGCTCAGAAAACCTTCCAGTTGTCAGGGGTTAGGTATAGGTGCCCTGCATCACTCTTCGTGTTTCGCCATTATTAGCAAAAACCAAGTAAACCAAGAGTCCTTGGACTACTTTAATGTGAAATAGAAATTGAATAAATAAATAAATAAATAAACCTGCCATATCTATGTGAAACTAGATTAATTTGTGTAATTTATATGGGTTGCTGAATTCCATGTAGAATGTTTTGAGCACTGAAACAACCAACTCTTGTTACCTTTTTCCCCCGCAAGGAGTTGCTTAAACTCATGGTCTATTGAATTCCGGAGACTGTCCACTGCTAACTTTCAAGCGACAGAAGTTCTCAGGTCTAAGCATACAGCCTTTCTTCCCAGAATGCTTGTTTCAAAGCCATCAGCCATGACCTCATTAGCAGCCCTGTCTCCGTTTCCCTTTAGTTTCCTTGGCAAACGGGCATCAGATCCAGCCTGTCTTTGTATAAATGGCTTATCTGCATGACGTAATGGGCTGACTTCCCTGCCAGAGCCTGCAAGCTTGCAGCCAAGAGGAAAGTTCAGTGTCGTGTTTGGGTTGATTTATTGCATTCGGTGGAAACTCTGCCTGATTATTTCAGCCATGTATTAGGTCAGACACCCTTAGAAAACCTCGAGAAGCAGGAGCTTGAATGGCCATGTCGTGATGCATGGCCCATTAGAGAGATCTGAGAACAGTTTGGGTGCATGGGAGCTGTAATTTAACACATCTGAAGGACTGGAAGCTAAACCGTTATATCATTCTCACCGTAGAAACACAGGCAGGCAAGACGGGAGATATGAAATGCAGTTAAACATTCCCTAGCCCAGCCTGCTTGCGATGAAACCAGGTCTGTAAACCTAAATCTCACCGGGAATGGCAGAGCTGTCTGGAAGTGTGAAAACAAGTTAGGGAGGTAATTCACTAAGTTCAGGTCTAGGAAGTCTAGGAAACGGACTGTTGCCTCCAGAAATGTGTGCCAGCCGTTTCTGCCACTGCTTGCTTTAATCACTCAGGTGAATGCAGAAACCAGCTGCTCTGACCTCAATGGGAATGACAACTCCCATCATCCTCATCCATCCCATGGTTGGGGATGAAGGAAGCTGTAGTCCACACAGTGTCCTTTGTGCAGAAAGGGGCCCTTGGTTCAGGGACAGACCCATGCAGCCAAGTTTGGAGTCAAACAGGAGCAAGCAGTCATTTTGAGGGGTGGGATGTGGGGGGGGGCGGTCTTCACCTTGTGTTTTCCCAGCTAAACTGTTGCTTGGCTAGATTACAATTGTTTTTGTGATCAAAGATCGGCTTAGATACGCAAAAAGCTGGAAAAACTATAGGAGGGAGCTGAAAAAGATGAAAGATTGTTGATGGGGAGAAACATTTTTTTCTGGGTTTTTTGCAAGCTGGAAAAATACTTTCCCCTGGATTTTTCCCCTGTGCTTTCCCCTGGATTTTTCTCCTTCCCCATGTCCTGCCTCCCAGCCTTCACATCTCGAAGGGCACAATCCTATGAGTGCTTAGACAGGAAAACAAGTCCTGGGTGAGGATCGGTGGGAGTCATAGGAGGTTTTGCCATCTAAACCTGCACCGGGTCGCAGCTCAGATGTGTTTCATGGGTTCTCTATGTGGCATCCAATGCACTAGAGAGATTTCACCCCGTGTTGATCGCACGCATATCCCACTTCTGTTTTCAGGGCGTCCACACATGAAGCTCACAACTTCTATACCTTGAAACACCTGTTTGGCAGGGAACGTTTCAGCATCTGCCGAAATATAGGAAAGGTATATAAAGTTTGACCTTGTTTGCACACAGTTGCCTTGCAACACTGGCAGTACTTAAGAAAAATGGGGCATTTAATAGCTGTCTGGCCCACTGGAACATAGGCAGCACCTTGGCACGGGGATTGATGCGCTGCCCAAGAACTGGAGCTTATGCCCAGCTACTTTGCAGTCCTGCTTTCTACTAAATAACTGTTGCATTTTTCCTCCCTGCCGTTGGCCTCTGTTCATTTGGCATGGGAGTCATTTGTTAAATATAGGTTGTGATCCGTCGGTATTGCAGAAAAGCAAGATTGTTATCGGAGGCAGATTTCCAGCTACCTTCACTTGAGTAGAACATACACACCAAAACAACTTGGTGGCAGAGCTGTGGGAAAGTACGCGCGAAGTTGAATCAACATGTCGTGTCGTGTCATGTCATGTCACTTGGTTCCTGCTCGGGTTTAGCCACGGTGGATTTTGCTCCTGTTTGTGCCACCTGCATTCACTGATTATTAGCAGGAGAAGGAATTGGCATGCATCTTGCGTGTGTACACAAATCCCCCATTGCAGGAAAATTGCACTTTAAAAAATAAAAATGCACTGTTAACAGAATGGTGAATTTTCTATCAAAATCTGCAAAAATGCCTCCGTTCATTATTTAATCTATCTTTTGTAATTCAATGGAACACCTTTGTGCAACCTGAAGAGAGAAAAAGAGAGTGGCTCCTGAAAAGGAAGGCCACATAACCTATTTAACAAGGAATAGACTTCTCTCGGAAGGTGGCTCTGAATGGGCCCACTGAGGAAAATGAGAAAAGGGATGAAAAGCGCGGCAGCTGGTGGCAGTGGTGGCAAGAAGGTAGACTCTTGGATGGAGAAGGCTCATTAAGGGTGTCCTGCCCAAAGGAACTCCAAAAGCTGGAGCCAGACTGGGTGAGTGGATGGCTGAGCAGGCGAGCAAGCAAGTATTTATACCTGCTGTGCCTTCCCTCTTCCTTTATTTATTTATTGCTTGGATTTATATCCCACCTTTTTTCTTTTAAAGAAAGCGGCTTGCCTCCCCCCTTCTTGATCTAATATTCTGACAACAGCCCTGTGAGGTAGGCTAGGCTGAGAGTCTGTGACTGGCCCAAAGTCACCCAGTTTGGCTCTATGGCTGAGCGGGGACTAGAACCCAGATCGCCTGAGTCCCAGACCTGCGCTCTTAACCACACCACACTGGCTCTCTTCCTCCTTTTCCCTGTTGCTGCCTGTTCCTTGCCCAGGCTAGTTACCCATCCTCCTGCTCAGGTAGGTAGGTAACGTCCAGCAGTCAGGTGCGTGCACCGCTACATGTCGGCCGCCATGCCCATCACTGCAATATAGAGGAGGTACCAAGATCAGCCTTTCCCAAACTAGTCTGTATCAAGTCATTTTGACCCTTGAAGTGGGCAGTCTCACAAGCACCTTTCCCTTTCCCTGGGAACAACAGCAGCAGCAGCAAGCCATCTGCTGACCTTCCGTGGCAGCCAAAATCAGGTGAAAGCCGATGCTACCCTCTGCTTAATGATGGGACCATTTATCTGATCACACAACCTGTGGAAGTTGCCACCTCCTTTCTGCACAGCTCTCTCTCTCTCTCTGTTCTATGTCTTTGTCCTGTTTGAGTGGGACTAAAGGTTGAATGTAGGCCTTTATATAGATAAATGGTTTCATTTTGTATGATAATAGACAAAGAAGGCAGCGTGGGGGAAGAGAGCACCAGTAGGTGATGCTAATGATGCTTCCTTTCAGCGGGGAAAAATTCTCAGTTTCTTAAAAGGTTATCATTCATATTTCCAATTTGCCTCTTCTCTTTTCTTCCCCAGCTGGGTGAACCTTGAGGAAAAAAGGATTTAAATAAAAAGAATCGCATTAACGAATTAATCCATTATGTTTTCTCCTCCTTGCAGGAGAAAGGCTATAAGAAGCGATGAGAAGCAGGTGCTCTGAAGACCAAATGATGCAGATGTTAGAAACGAAAGGATGTACAAAAGTGGGAAGAGTTTGAATACAGACACTTGTGGCACTGAGCTCAGTTGACAAGGAAGAACATTTGTCTGAAAAGCACCTCTGCCCTTTAACATGTGTTCTGATGATGGAATGGAAAACTGGCCTTCTATTTAAGACCGTGTGGCAGAAAAGTCACCAAAGCCTCACAGAGCAATTCGTCACATGCAGAAAAATGCAAAATGGACAATGACTCATCCCATCTCTGGCAAATAAAGGTTTCTGGCATCAACATTAATTTCCAAGATTTGTGGCAAAAGGCCCACATCTAGGTAATAAATGTTTTAAGTACTCAAGGGTATACAAATTGATGCTTCACACTCCCCAAAGTGAAAGAAATAAGGATCATTTTAAAAACTCTATGAGCCGATTAGTTTATGAGCTCAGTTTATTTCAGGAAGAAAAAAGTCCAGTGGATGGTTTTCTTAAACTATTGTCCATCTGTAATTTTTGATGTGTCTCCTTTGCCCCTTTACTCAGACTCATGTATCCATGTTTTATGTTGGCAAGTTGGTTTAGGAAAGTATTTTTGGATCAGCTCTGTGTGCTTGCATCTCTTTTTATATAAATGCATAACCGAAAGCCTCCTTCTTTGCAGGGACAGAGAGGGAGCAAACACTGTCATGGCAGAGAAGTGCGAGTACATCGCCAGCGTGTACGGTTATGACCTGGGCTGCCGTTTCATCAACTTTCGGCCCTTGGGCTTCGGTGTGAACGGGCTCGTCTTGTCTGCGGTGGACAGCAAAAGCTGCCGCAAAGTAGCTGTGAAAAAGATCGCTATCAACGATGCGCAAAGCATGAAACATGCCTTCCGGGAGATCAAGATAATCCGCAGGCTGGACCACGACAACATCGTGAAGGTCTATGAGGTGCTGGGGCCCAAAGGAGCAGACCTGCAGGGAGACCTGTTCAAATTCAACATGGTGTATGTCATCCAGGAATATATGGAAACAGACTTGGCCCGGCTGCTGGAGCAGGGCCCTCTGTCAGAGGAACACGCCAAACTGTTCATGTACCAGTTGCTTCGGGGCTTGAAATACATCCATTCGGCCAATGTCTTGCATAGGGATTTAAAGCCCGCCAACATTTTTATTAACACAGAGGACTTGGTGCTGAAGATTGGAGACTTTGGATTAGCACGGGTTGTGGACCAACATTACTCGCACAAGGTATGTCCCCACGCTCGTTCTGCTGCTGCGTTCGTATTGCTGCCTACAGACAGGAGCATCTCACGTCAGACCCCCACCCCAGCGTCACTGCCAAACCACTGCTGTGTTTTATGAGATGAGTTCAGATCAATGAGCCAAACAAAAAGGCCCTGACTGGGTTCAGACAACACAATCAAGGGTTGCTTGTGGGTTGTTGTTACCATGTCATTGAAACATGGGTTATCATGTTGTTTGAACCCAACCAAGATAGGAACCCACAGCTCACAACCCAGCACCAAACCATGGACTCCCTTCAGGAGTTGTTTGTGGTTAACAGGCTGTGGTTTGTTAATGCAGCTGGGTTCAGACAACAGGATAACTCACATTTCTACAACAACCCACACTCAACCCATGCGCAACCCTCAAGAGTAGGTTATTATACTGTGCAAATCCACTTAGGGCATGGGCAGTGTCTACTCACAAGGAGGCTCAAGTGAGTTCATTTGGGCTCAGTTCTAGGTAAACAGGCATAACAAAGGTATACAACCTCAGACCCAGAGATCATGTCTGTCCATCCATGAATCTTAGAATGCCACAACCTCATTTCTCTCTGGCCCCAACCCTTTTCCCCTGAATGCTAATAGTTTGGTGATTTCCTGTCTTTTTGTTCTCCTCTCTCGCTTAAACTAAATCTTAATTACTGGTAATAAGAGCTTTAAGCTTAAAATAAATAGGTAAGCATGCTCATCCACCACCAGAAGAAAGGACAGTTGGATCGAAATGATGGTAGGGCCCAGAAAATCAGTAACTGTAACTCTGATTTTGTACTAACTACATTGGCCTCTAGGAAGTCTCTTGACCCAGTTCAAAGGGTTGGTTTTAAACTTTAAAGCCAGGGGACCAGGTTATCTGAAGGACATCTTAATTTGTATAGTCCTGCTTGTACAGTAAGATCTTCCTTGGGGAACCTTCTTGAGTTCCCGCTGTTCCGATCCATAACACTGGTGTGCACATGAGGCAGGGGCTTCATGGTGGTGGCCCCAGTGCTGAGAAATACACCAGTCCCTCTTCTGTACTTGCATTTAGACAGAGCTTGGACCTCTTGCTTGAGTGGATCAGCTTTATCCAACACTGAGTATGTTTCTGTCTTACATTTTCTGCTTTCTACATATCACATTCCTGTTGCATTTTGGTCTGTGAAGACATAGCTCTAAAAGGACTTATAAATAAATAAAATAAAGACCTAGCATCAAGTAAGGGTCTCAGAATTAGATCTTCTGAGGAAACACATATTACACTGAGCAGCAAGAAATGGACCATAAGTATCCTGCCTGCGATCTGTCGATTTCTGTGGGACTTGCTCCCATGTAAGCTTGCATGGGATTGCCATTTGTTTTCCAGTACTGCAGCCAAAACATGTACACCTCTTCTTATAGCCTTTCCCCAGGGACAGCATATGGTAGCACTGACCCTAAGCAGAACAGTAAGAGGGGGTGGAGGAAGAGAATTGGGACTACTTCACCTGCAGCATGGAAAATTCCACTGTCGAAGCCTGTGCAGAAAGAATGCTGTGTTACGGAAAACTTTGACCACCCAACCCCATCAAACAGAGCCGTGTCCTAAGCGTGGGTTTGGCTCATATGCCTGATTTCCCCAGATAAAAGGAACAGATGGACAGATGGAGGAATTCAAAGTATGTTCAGCAATTTTGCTGAGGCATTTTCCCCCAGCCACCTCCAGTTAGTGGTTTATTTGGGACTTTTGCCCAACATGAAGCGTTCTCTCCCACCCCTCCCTTGGACCCCCAGTTCTTGGGGATGCTAATGGAAATTAGGAAGAAAATAGTGTAAGCACCAGCATCCTTAAAGGGGTAGTGTTTATTTTTGGGTAACTGAGCTCTGGCATTCCAAGCATCAGAAAGCCAGGCAGCATTATTCTGCTGGCTGCTGAAAGCTTCTGCAGCTTACAGAAATGTGCTGACATGGTTTGGAACCCTGCATCTTAGCACTCATCTTCCCTGCAAAGAGCTTGAGGCAATGCATATAGAATGCATGCATCCTTTCGTAGGTTTTATGTTTGTGACAAAGTTGTTGTGGGCTAGGCTGAGTGAACTTGGCCAGCCAGAGTCACCCAGCCATGTTAGAGCCAAAGGGAGAATAAGGAGATCCTGTTTTCCAGGTACTTTGTCCCAGGGGTCTGTCTGTTGGGGCATTGGCTGCTCCAGTTAGCAGCATGAAACTGAGGAGTGAGTGAGGGGAACTGGGGGTGATTTTCTCTTCTGAGGAACCCAAGGGAGTTTGCATAGTTCTCCTCTCCTGTGAGGTAGGTTAGTCCAAGAGTCCATGATTGGCCTAAAGTCACTCAGGGAGCTTCATAACAGAGCAGAGACTAGAACCTGAATCTCCCAGGTCCCCAGTTCATCACTCTAACCACTGGCTGTATAAGTCACACCAGGTCACAGCAGTCTGTTCAAGGGTTTCTCTCTCCCATCAAGGATGAAGCCCCAGAACAAGAGAGCTATTTGGCAAGAGCGGCAGTTGCCATTCTGGCCATGCGGCTGACCATAGAGTATGGCTGACAGCTATCCCAGTTCCCATGGCTGTCAGATCCCAGAATCTCTCAGCTCCTGCCCCAGAGATCTTCACTGGGGCAAGAGCCAGGATGGTCTGGGGCAGCGCTGCCCAACTGATTGGCCCTCCTTGTGCCCAGGAGTGGATCAAGGCACCCCTTCCGGCTGTCTCAGGGCCCTGTTTGCACAGCAGAGGCAGCTTGATGACCATGGCAAACCAGGTGTGGCTTGTGCTCACAGCTGTCCAAAAGAGGGCTCTCCTTCCCCCTGACATTGTCTCCTGTGGCACTGCCTGGAGGAATGAGAGGGAAGCCGCAGGGACAGAACAAGGAAGCAGTGAGCTGGATAGTCTGTCCAGCTCATCGTGGTTGCCTGGCACATCACAAAAACACATCATGGTGATTTACTGCAATAAGTTGCCATGGTGGGCAAACCCTTTGTGGGTTCTTAACAAACTATGATTTGTCAGCACAGCTGTGTTCACACGACAGAACAACCCATGATTCAACTCACACTCAACCTAGGCCCTAGCTTGTCATGGTGTTTGAACTCAGCCGGGTGTGTTTTAGGGGAGCATTGCTGTTGTCCTGCTCTGTCCCCGCCTCAAATAGCAAACTTGGGTACTGACTGAGGACAACTTTCTAGCCACACTGATCATCTGGACACAGATAACTGGTGATAAATGGGAGGGGAGGTCTCACCATGCTGGAAGTGAACTCAAATTTTGAAGGGCAAAATCATTTAGGGAAAACACATCTAAGGGACAACCTTCCCCCAAACATCTCCATTCGACATGTTTAATGTTCACAATGCTGATTGTCTCTGGTGGAGAGAAATGGGTGAAGGAATGGAATGGAGCGGTCTGGTCATGACTGGCACTTGGAACCCTAAAGAGCCATTTTAAGGTTTTGTCACAGGTCCTACTTCTTAAGACTGGTACTGGATTAAACCCTAGTCCACAGATTTTCCCATTACACAAGATTCTCCCTATGCTGCCCTGTGGACGAAGCAGAAAAAATGGAAACTGTCCGCATGGAACTACCGTAAGATATGTGTGAGGATGCAGAACAGGTTCTGTGCAAGGGCTTTCAGAGAAGTCCTTGAGTGGTCCGTTCCCAGGGGGTGTGGCTGAAGACAAAACTAGGTATATTCCCCACGTTTAAAAAATACTGACAACTTTTAGTTTAAATCTCTTAGTGTCAATCAAGAAAACTTGGGAGATACATTTCAAGCTTTCAGAATGGGAGGAAACTACACAAAGGCTGGTAAACTACACAAATGGTTGTGGCAAAGGGGATGGGGTCAGGGAGTTCAGATTTAGGTCCGATTCCCTGGAGGAATGGATTTTGCATCCGTGTTCTGTAACATTCTCCTTGAATATTAGCAATGGATCCTTCCTGGCTGTCCAGCATCTTGCCCTTAATCTGGCCTTTGAGAATTTGGAAGTCGATCCTATGATTTCTGGAAACGGTGCGTTTTAAAAGAGATTTCAGGGATGTTAAATAGCATTCTTCCCACAAAACCTGGCACATGAATATTCAGTTCAATTCTCTGCAGAGTTAATGTGAGTGAATGTACAACTGGCTTGCCTGCGTTGTTCATGTAACTGTATGCACAACAGTGGCAATTAATCCTTGCATGAAAGCACTGCAAAGGTAGGCCGCTCTGACTCTGGGAAAGGAAGTTGAAAAGTTTTTGTATTGTCTGGCCAGAGGCAACAGAAGGACTAAAGAAATGTGTTTGCCAGTGGGAGAACTGATGCCTCCTTCCAATCTCCCAAACTCTGATATGTCTTCAGTAAGAAGGACAATCTGCTTCTGCCTTGATCCAATTATACAGGGTCTTATGGTTAAGGGCTAAGTGACATTTAAAGATTTCCACTCCTTTTGGTGTTTTTTAAAAGACTGTTCTGATTCCATTATTATGTTATGGAATCAGATCAAGAATACCTATTTGGCATTGCTTTATGCTGTGCTGCAGGTGAATGGAGGGGGCTTTACTTCCTTCTGGACAACTAATTTCACTTGCACTGCCCTGCAAATAGCCAAGCAATCCATCTCTTTTGTTGCTGGCTTAAGATGAAATGAAACCAGAAGGGCCTTAATCCGTCCTCCACCATCTAGGCTGTGATCAGGACACACAAAAGATCAAGTCATCTCCTTCTTTTTTCTAGCCCACCTAGCATGTTTAGGAGAAAAGAACAGGGTAACAACTGAAGATAAATTAGATATTAGAATTGCTTGCTTCCTTTGTTTTGCAAATTCTGCTCATTGGGCTGAGCTGAGGAGTAGGCTCAGACAGAACCCTGCAGAATCCTGATATAAAGCGAGGGAGGTAACCTCTTCCAGCCCAAGGACTGGATCCCATTCCAGATAAGCTTTGGGGGGTTGGGATAGGCAGGGCCAATCCAAAAGGGGCAGGGCAAAAATACTAGCCCAGTTTAGCTTAACAC